TGATGATCCATCAAAGGCTTATATGGCTGTCATTGACTTTGCTCTATGGATGGCAACAGTGATGATGAATTTATTGAAAATCTATCAAGGGTAAATCAAAATTACGGAAGCTTCTATTTACACACCACTATTTGACTTAGTGCACACTATCTTTATAATTTTTTTTACTACATTCATGTTCATTAGTCAAATTATTATTTTAGACAAAATTTTAATTATACACGAGCAACGTTGTACTTTCCCTGGTTGCTCTTATCTTCGGCCATCCTTTCTATACTGCTATCATTGTAGCCACCTTCCACATCGCACCGCTTCTAGTCACTGCCCTACCATTGCATACCACTATACCTTCGGTGCCACCCCAAAGCCTCCTTCACCTCTGCCACCAACACTTTCCACTCTGGCGAAGCACCTCCCACAGCCTTGCGAATACCCCTTTTGCAGTGCCACCGCAGCCTGACGATAAAGAGAAGGGCATATCGCGATTTAGAGAGAGAGAGAGAGAGAAGATGGAGGCGACAACAGCAATGACAATGGATGGTGGCTAGGGTTAAAGTTAGGGTTGGAGAAGATGAAGGTATGTTTGTATCAACTGATGAGTAAGGAATGGGCTGTGAGAGTTGCCGGGAAGAAGAAGAAGGAGGAGGAGGAGGATGTTAGGGATGTGGGCAGCAACGAAAGGGATGGCAGCCGCTTGTGATGATAGTAGTTAGGATTAGGGTTAGAATTTGGTTAGGGTTGGAGAGTTGGGAAGATTAGGGTATTTTGGATTTTTCAATAAATTGTCGGTGTGAATTGAGAAAATATCAAATAATTCAAAATGGTGTAGTGTGATTTAAGAAATTGGTGTGTATTGAGTTAGATGGTGGTGTGTAAATAGAAACTCCCCAAAATTACATCTTCATACATAACTCTTACCTATATTAGAACAGATCTCATTTGTACTTTACTAATTTACAATTAAATTTTCTTTTCCCGTTTCTTATTTATGTGAGATGTTGACCACACAAAAAAACCCTGTGATTTATAATTAGATGGTGTTTGCTAACTTGTCCCTTGAACTCTTCTTTACAAAGAAAGTGAATTATTTCCTTTGTACAACATTTCTACACACAAGAGACAATCACTATTATGGGTTATGTCAAGGTTCTTTATTAGGATTACAAATTCAAATCGAAATTAGGGTCATCTCTCATGTATGTAAAATTATTGTACATTGAAGGAAAATACTTAACTTTTCCATCAAAATAGTTTTTGGGAGGTCACCTCTTAATGTAGACTAGAAGTGATCTATATTTGAATAGTTCAAGTGTAAAATTAATAGAATTAAAAGAATCAAAGTTTAATTGAGTTTTTAGAAATAATTTAGAAGGTAAAATTAAATTTTATTGATTACAAAATTACGAATCTTACGTTGGATTCAAATGCCATTGGCTATAAAATAAAAATAATTAAACTAACAATATTTTCAAAGATAGTTGAATATTCCTGACCAACTAAACTAGTCCTAATTAATTCTATTTAGCTAGTTTTGTAATTATTTTTACTATTTTATTTTTTGTGAGACTTGAAGGATGATAGGGGAAAAGGGATCCGATCCGAGTACACTTCAATTTGTTTTGGCATTGTTTTTCTTTCCCAAAACGAATTCTAATATACACCAGTTTTATGGTGGGCTTTTTTTTGGGCTAGAACTGGATGCGCTAAGACATTTACTAGGGCCGAGGGTGGTCTAGTATGGGCCTTCCAAAGTGGCAGAGAGTTTTTTTTATAAGCCCAATCTAAAGCATTCTAAAAGCCCAAGCCCAATTGATTCTGCTCTCATTCAAGCAAGTCCTCCGAGGAGAGAGAGAGTGTGGACTGTGGACTTGATCTGAAAGCAACCACCAAACCTCAACAGGTGATGATTATGCCCAGCCCACACCGTGCCACATCAGCATCATATTGGGCCCGTACTCATATGTCATGGGTAAGAGTGCTATAGGCTTTTTTTGGAATGTATTTATCATTTACCCAAAGAAAATAAAATTTAGATATAAAGTTTAGATGATCAATTCATTGAAGATAAATGCCATATGTATTTTTTTTTTCTTCTTCAATCGTCATCCTTATGTATCATCATTTAGGTGGGCCTTCATGATTAATTTTTTATTTGGAATAAGATATAAAAATAATAAAAATAAATAATACCATGTTATGTACTCTGGTGAAATAAGATAATAAAAAAAATTAAATATATATAAGAGTAAATTATTCCTAATGCCCTGAACCTTTTTTTTTTTTTTTTTTTTAAAAAATTAAGCCTCTAAACTAATTTTTCATGCAGTTAAATGCTTTAATTTCTCAAATTGGTTGCGTTATATGGGACCAAATTTCATCAATTTATCTTGTAGTTGGTCCTATTGGGGGTGGATTTTGTTGGCTAAAATAGTAAAAAAAGATAAAATACTCAATCGCATCGTTCTCTTTATTTTATTACAGGTCTTGTTGTAAAAAATTAAAAAAATTAACTAAAATAATCTATTATCAAACGGCCTCACTAGTTGTCAAAAGTAAAGACACGGATATTAAATTGAATCAATTTGGGAATGTGAAAGGTCAAAATTAAATAATTTAACAACTTAGTAAAAAATAATGCCAAATTTAAAAACGTTTGGACTTGTCAGGACTTAGGGGTATTTGGGGTACATTAAACAAGTACATTGTTTTATCTTTTTATTTCTTTTTTAATTATATCATCTCTTTATTTTTTTATAATTTTTTTTTTTGTAAAAATTAAAAAATACATTTATTTAGATAATCACAAATAATCTCTTACTTTGGAGATAGAGATCGTAATGGGATCTACTACATCAATTATGTATTAACACATAAGATAATACACAAAAAATATTATAAAAATATGATAACTATAACATCATCCATGTAACAATCCTCACCTTCAAGGGTTTGACTTAGTAAAAGGAGAAACAACAAAGGGCTTACCACTCAACAAGTTGTAAGGTTGAATTTCATGAAGGTGCATGTAATATTTTATGGAGGTTTGTTTAGCCATTAATTTTAGGACTTTAGAATTAATTGAATTACGTGTAAATTGGATCCAAATACCTAGTTAATTTTTTAAAAATAAAAAATAAAAGACAAAAAAAAACAAAAAAACAAAAACATTGGTGATTATTGAGTACTCTCAGACTACGATCCCGTGATACTCTATAGTATTATAATTTGTGAAGAAGATAGGGTGCTATGATTTTATATTGGGTGATTTATAAGTATGAGGGGTATAATGAATGATGATTGGTGAAAGAGTATAGATATGTGAAACTTTAAGTGAGTACCTAAGCCTACTTTGAGAAGTAAGTTAAAAGTTTTTTTTTTTTTTTGGGCTTTTTTTTAACTTTTTTGAAAAAATATACAAAAAAAAAAAGAAAAAAGAAAAAGAAAGATGATATGACATAAAAAAAACCAAAAAACTGATTTTTAATCCAATTATCAAAATAGGCTCTAATAATTTTCCAAAAAAAACATATAACAATCCTCATTAAATTTACAACAGTGATACATTCTAATACTGACATGAAAAAGCAAAAACAAAAACACAGGCCAAAACATCACAACACATAATGAAACTCACCATTAAAACTCTCTATAAACCTCTTTTTCTAAAGCTCCCAACCTTTATTCTTAAATTTATTTTAAATGTTTTAGAACTCTAATAAAGGAGTTCTATGAACTCTAAGTGCATCCACAATGAAAATCACTATTGGGTGCTGCAATGGGTGTGCTAGTATTGTGTGTTAGTGCCAGCTGTTAACTTGTGTGTTAACTGTGGCCAGCATTTTAGTTAGCGAAGGAAGAGAGAGATGTGTGCTTGGGAAAGTCCTCCCGGATGTCTAGCCAGAAGTCCTCCCGGAAGTCCACCCCGAACATCCAAACCCTTCAAAAAAAGGAAAAAACAAAAAAATGGGTTTGACCGGCTGACCGGCCGGACGTTTGGGCGGTCAACTGAATTTTTTTTTTTTAACTTGTTGGGATTTTCTTTTTTTGGCTTGAAATTTTTGATTAAATTAAATTATTTATTTATTTTATTTATTATATACACACATATATATATACATTTTAATACACCCTTAAAACATCCGTTGTACCAGTACTCACTCTCTAAAATTAACAAACTCTTAACACATCTTAAAATATATTTTTGAGTCCTACTTTTATTACTTTTTGTCATATAACATACACTTTTTTAGCCATCTCACTATAAATACTCTAATTAAAAATGAACTACACTGTAATAGTGATATTTATATTTTTTTTATTTTTTTATTTTATTTTGCAAAGGTGGTTGAGACATCCACTATCCACTTTCTCCCGCCTCCACCACCCCACACACACGTGAGGTTGGTTATTGAAAGAAAAAAAAAAAAAAAAAAATCTTGACCAATTAGACCCCACTGTGGTCTTGGGGGCACCCAGTAGACGTTTGAAATATTTTTGTTTATTTTTATATCATTAGTGTTTATTAGAACTCCTCCATTACATTTAAGGATAAAAAATGTATCATTGTTGCACATTTAGGCCAAGTTTGGGAAGACTAAAAAAGTGTACTTTTTGTCTTTTTGGACTAAAAAATTGAGGTTGAAAATATGGATGTTTGGGTTAACTTTTTGACTTTTTATTGAAAAATGTGTAATAAAAAATTGTAAAAATTGATTTGTAGGGAAAAATTTGAATTGGGAGTTGTGCAGCCGTAATTGTTGACTTTTGGTGAATAGTGTTAACTTTTTAGCTTTTTGAGTAATTTTTTGGCTTTTTAACTTTTTTGGATCTTGCCAAACTTGGCCTTATTATGTACCCGCTCAATTCATTTTATGATATGACACAACACAACATGGACTCAGAAATTATGAGTCATGCAGAGGAAGATTTTTAATAATCTACACTCAACCCAAAATAAAGTAGAAGCTAATATGCACAATTAGAAAAACATTAAAAATAAATAAAAGAAAAGAAAAGGCATCATCATATTCACTAGTATTTGTCAACCTAAAGCACTACTTTTCCTTAGGTTTTACATCATCATCTCACCTTGATCTTCAACCGTTGGTATAGTCAACCACTCATCTACACTTGAGCTCTGATGATCATCATTTCCATCCAAACAAGGTAGTGGGTCCCCAATTTTTAAACCATATCCCATCCCCGTGACAATATCTTCTTCAAATGGGTATTTTGAAACGACTTGAGCAGTGTTGTTGTTACCATCTAGGGTTTTCAGAAACCCTAGCCACCATGTGTAAGAAGAAGCCAAGTTCTCAGCCCACTCAAACTCTAAGGCCTCCATTGGTGGTGGTGGTGGGGTGGCAAGAACTGAAGGTGGAGTGGTAGACCATGTTGGTTGAGGATGTAAATTCAATGTATAAAGAGAGAAATATAGGGAAAATGAATTATGTATTGATTGATATATTCTGTATTACAAATGAGGGGTTCCTTATACCAAAATATTGGTCGCCAAAAGTCCAAAATTTGGTCGCCGAAACCATTTAGCGGCCAAAATTTTTTGTCGCTAAGCTCGTCGCCTTTACCCTGTCGGCGATAGTATTGGCGACTAAAATTTGTTTGGTCGCCGAAAGTGACTACATTTCACTACTAAATTTAGTTTAGTCGGCAAAAGGTATGTTTCCGCCACTAAAGTATTAGTCGCCAATAGTTTCTTTCTCTCATTCTCAAATCTTTTAGCTACTAATTATTTGGTGGCAAAAACGTTATGGGTTATGTTTTTGCTACTAAATTATTAGTAGCCAAAACTTTTAATTACCTATTTGGCTACCAAAACATTTGGTAGCCAAATGCTTTAACGTGTTTTTTTTTTTTCGAATTTTTTTTTCTAAACAACCTTTATCCATTATTAATACAACCTGTACCCTGTATGGACAATATAATCCATAATCCATCAACACTAAATATATTATCGAACATTCAACCACGTGCACACATTTCAGTTCCAACCATCCAAATAATTAATATTGAACGTCCAATTATATATATATATATATATTATAAATTTCATAAGAACCAAGTCTAATCCAACGTCAATATTTTAATTCCATACATAATACATGAATAACCAAATTAATTGTACACCTACAACTTCTGTACCACAACAAAAATTATATTAACTAATGAAAGACATACAAACATGGACCCATCATGAGTTCTTGTTTTAGCTTTTCAATGACAGTAACAAAGTATTTGAAAATCAACAAATGCCACCGGAGTTCCATATGTGCTCTGCATCTTCAATTTTATAAGTCCATGGCAACTAGAAAAGGACAAAAAGAAATAGAAAATTAAATTCCACAAGCTTCACATATTAGGAAAATACATGATAAAAATAATTACTCCAAACCTTGAAAAGACTTGAATTAGCTCTTGCTCTGAACAAGTTGGCCCCAAATTTGCCACAAATAGTGTTGGACATCCATTAACATTTTGCGGAACATGAAGTGCAGAGTAGTTGTTCTGCTAATGTAGAAAAAAGGCCCAATAACAAGATCAATTAAAATGATGGATAATGATGCTATTGGAAAATACCACCTAGCAGTAGTGTGTTAGTCTATTGCATTAAGGTAATATAGTTTTCAAGTAGGTTTGTGGATCATCTTCAAAGAAGAATTGACTTCTGACAACCATAAATACTAGTATCCAAGGGGACAATGTTAAAATGGTTAGGATAAGAGCCATGGCGAATTTATTTTGTTTAATTTTCCAAATATCCCAAAATGGACAATTGAACTACACTACAAAGGCAGGTGACTCCAAAACAGCCTAGAAAAATTAACCCAACAAGTTTGATGTATGAGGCACTTGCTTTCGCAAAGAATTAGTTTCATAGCTAAAGCTCTCATGTTGACATATTTAACAGATGGGTTGACAACCAACGGCCACAGAATGAGTCCACAGAGTTCTTTACAGTATTTGAGGGTAACGAGACCACTGTAATTAAAATAAAGCGGAGTGAATTGCTTGAGTTAAAAACAAAGACAAAACAGGATAACAATATCCATGGTTGCAAGTAATTATGGACATTGATAGGAACCTTTCTGTAACCTAATTTATCAGATCCCCCTCTAGTCTTATTTGAGGGAAGAGGGAGTGAGGTCTGTGTGTGTGGCTTGGTTAGAGTGAATTGCTTCAAAAAGCATACTTAAACATAGTTCTTTGAATAGAGACCAACTAAGAAGTTGAAATCTACAAATAAAAAACATTCGGGAAGTTATAAACTATGTGGGAAAAATGTACCAATTAACAAAACCAGCTTCAGAGCATCTGTTAGACAACTTCCTAACTTCCAGCTTTTCTGGGCATCTTTCGCTGCCAAGAAAAATCAATATTTTTTTACTGCTTATGAGGGACAGAAATAACATATATTATAAAGTTGTGCCAACCTAGCTTTCATAAATTTATGAAGTTAAAGTCTAACAAGGTTTCTTTCCCCTTGCAGGACATGATAACAAGGTTAGACATCTTTTCTTTTCTTTTCTTTTCTGCTGAGTAAGGTTAGACATCAACATAGAAAAATTAAATTTAAGAGAAATTCCCTTCAAAAATATATATATCAAATTCAATGTGAGAATAAACTGTGCAATGATGCATATTGAAATGGTAGCTTAAGGTGCTTGCAAGTAAGCAAAAAATAAAATAAAAATGAAATGGTAGCTTAAGGTGCTTCCAAATCATGAGATGTAGAGATAGACCTAATACCTTCGCTCTGTTGAGTCAAGGACTAGCCATCCTTGGTCAAAACTTTGTTGTAAGGAAAACAACAAAAAACAAGAATAATTTAATATAAGAGTTCTTAACCTCTGTATCTACCCAATTTTGGTATGTTGTGATTCAAATAGTAAATTAGAAACTTAAACATTGCAACCCACCAAAAATATTAAGAGATAAGTAGAAAGTAAAGAAAACGAGGTGACTTAACTCAAGTTGGAACCTTTATTTATTAAGGTCATTAATCACAGCAAATAGGTATTGAGTCAATACTTTCACTGCCAAAAGAAAAACAGCCCAATGGCTATATAACATAGAAATAATGCATAATTCTGGTTCCAAGCCCAAGATTAAAGAAAGGGGAAAAAAAATTAAGGAAAACCTGAACAGATGCAAATGAACTACAAATAATAATAATAACAATAATTGACTAACCATGAAAGAGATTATACAAAGCAATTCAAAATAACTATACCAATGCCATGACCCATGAGCATAACAATTCAGCGAAGTAAATACATGTCAAAATAATGCAAATAACCTTGGAGGCATAGCAACATAATGACAATCATAAATGCAAAAAATCCAAGAATATATGGAAACCTAAAAGCAGACTCTAAAAACATTAATTAAAACAAAAGACCAAGTTTGAAGCCATGTTTTCTCTCTCTCTCTCTCTCTCTCAATTAATCTATAACTAAGCTTGTTTAGTGTCCCAAATACTTGAGAAATAAAGAAATAAAATTTCAAATCCAAATCGATTCATGTAGTAATTTTCCCAAATTCAAAAGAAGAACAAACTCACAAAATTAGGCATAATCATCACTTGAAGTTTTTTTGTTTTTTTTTTTGTTTTTTTTTTTTTTTTTGTGTGTGTAAAATTGTGATTGGGGTTGATCCCCGGCATGAAGAAAGGACAAGTGTGTGGAATGTTTGTGGTGTTGATTTTGGTGTTGGGGTTTTTGGAGAATAAGAAAAATAAAATAAAAGGATAAAAAGAAAATAGATAAAAGTCAATATTTTTGGATGTGTAAGGGGAGAAAGATCGGGGTGAGGTTGTTTTTTTTTTTTTTTTTTTTTTTTTTTGGTTAATATATATACTTTAGTGGGATGAATGATAAGAATCATGTGGGAGAATATATATTCTATATGTTGTGTGGGTGGAGAAGAAAGAAAAGAAAATAAAGGGAGTCATGTGGGTGTATTCGGAATTGTTGCCTGAGTGGAGAATAAAGAAAAGAAAAGAAAAGAAAACAAAACAGGGTAGCTGTCCTTTTTTATTCTGAAGTGTTGCCTCAGACCCACATGAATTGGTGCCAAAAAAAAAAAAAACCCGTGAAATAAGTAGAGACAGAGAGTGAGGGGAGTAGAGAGAGAGAGATGCTAAAAACACCAATGACGAAGTGAAACCCACCATTTTTCAGGACTGTCTGGGTCGGAGCTGTGCCTCCGATTCGTCTCCGGCTGCGATGGTGAAGCCGGGTGTCGGCGGAGATGTGGAGGCGTCGCTGGCGGCCTCCGCCTTTGTTGGTGGTTCTTCTGGCGGTGACCGTGGACCCATCTCCGCCACTTCTGATCTGGGTTTGGTGTGTGTTTGCCAGTATACCGTGATGATAAAAGAGATCAGAATGTCTGGAACTCTATGGTGGTTCTGACTGAATCTCTATGCTGGAAGGTAGTGGCAAAAACTTTTGATTCATCTGGTATTGGGATGGTTATATATCAGAAACCTGTTTCATCTTCCTGCTATAAAAAAAAAACGCAAGGACAATAAGCCACCTTTATGTGATCAAACCAGTAGGCCAAACAGTTCATGGTATGTGCCCCTTGACAATTGTCTTGCCCTGCTGCCAGCTGTGGTTAGCTGGCCCGCCCCATGGCCTCAAAGGCTTAACAGTAAACCTCCAAGCCTATCAACTAAACAAGATGCTAAAGAAATCTTTTATGAGGACATCAAACACTGGTCTGCACTTGTCTCAGATGTTTATCTGGAAAGCCGCCTTGGTATAGACTGGTCAAGAGTGAGGAATGTAATGGATATGAATGCTGGTTATGGAGGATTTGCGGCAGCAATTATTGATCGACCTCTGTGGGTAATGAATGTAATACCAGTCTCTGGGCCAGATACTTTATCTGTTATCTTCGATAGAGGGCTGATTGGGTGTGAAGGAGTAACAGTAGCAGGTGGAGGAGGATCCAGGAGGTGGAAGCTAGTGAACCCACGTAACCCGCCTGGTCGAGAGCGAGTTCGGTGACTTGAATCATCGTTGAAATAACGAGGTCCCATGAGCTCAGACACGAACCGGGTCTGACTGAGTTAGGATCGAGTCCGTTCTTGAATTCTCTCAATGCCTACTGAGTTAGGATCGAGTCCGTTCTTGAACTCTCTCAATGCCTCTGTGTCTTGCCAAAAAGTGATGGAATTGGCTTCGAAGAAGGAGTCTTTCGACATGGGTTGCTCAGAATAAAGGTGAATTGAGTGGATGAAGAGAAGAACAGTGTGTTAGAGAGAGAAGAGAGAATGGTGTCTATGTGTGGCTGTGTTGGGTTTAACACTTATTTAATCTTAAATTAATTTTGGAAGTCTAAGGTTGCGTTTGGTTTAATTTTGAAATTGTGATTCTCGTTTTGGAATTGTGATTTGAGTGAGGAATTGTGAGTTGTGTTTTGAAAAGAGAAAATTTGTTTGGTTATGAGTTTTGAAAAAAGTTATTGAATTTTGAGTTGTATTTTGAATTTTTGGATTTATTTTTTTTAAATATTAAAAAATGTAGTAGGTGAGTGTAGTAGGTGAGTGTGTGGTAGGTGATGGTAAGTGTGTGGTAGGTGATGGTAAATTATACAATGTACATTAACAGAGGAAGAGGCAAAGACTCCAACAATGAAGAGCAATATTGAGAACCATAGTCACAAGATGATGATGATGATCTATGGAGGTGAAAGGCATTGACAATATCTCTTCTAGCTTGAGCTATGTTGATGGAAGAGTGATCTTGTTGTGTGGCTTTTTTTCTTTTGTGAAACCTTCTTCCTATGGGTTTTCCATTGGAGTTTCTTTTTCTTGATTCTGAGTCTTCTTCCATGGCTATATACCACAAGAATAGAGAGAGAGAGAGAGAGAGAGAGAGAGAATTTGAGAAACACAAGTGGCGAGGTTAATGGGAAGGAAAAGATAGGAGGGGACAGAGAGTAACATGTGTGTTGACACGTTGTGGACATATGTGTGGACTGTGGACACATAGGTAATGGGAAAATTATAAAGTTGATTGATGAAAAGTCAATAAAATTTATGAGAATATAATGTTTGGTCTGAGATAATTTTGTTTAAATATAAAAATACACGTTGAAAGTTTCTGGTGGCCGACGTTGTTGTTGGTGGTACTGAGGTGAATAGATAAGTAAAGTATGTATGGATATGTGATATTTAAATTAATAATTAGATATATAAGTATGTGTATAAATAGGTAAAATTTGAATAGATAGATAAATAGACATTACAAGAAATGTCACTTTTGGCTACCAAAATATTGGTTGGTAAAAGTCACTTATTTACTCGCCGAAGGTGTTTAGCGACCAAAATTCTTTGCCGCTAAGCTCGTCGTCTTTACCTTGTCGGCGATAGTATTGGCGACTAAAATTTGTTTGGTCGCCGAAAGTGTACACATTTGGCTACTAATCTTAGTTTAGTCGACAAAAGGTATGTTTCCGCCACTAAAGTATTAGTCGCTGAATGAGGCTTTTTGGCTACTAACTTGTTGTGGTCGGGGAAGGTATCACTTTTAGCTACTAAATAATTGGTCGCCGAAAGTACACATTTGGCTACTAAATGGCATGTTGACCGAGGCCAAGGTTACAAATTCCATAAGAACCAAGTCTAATCCAACGTCAATATTTTAATTCCATACATAATACATGAATAACCAAATTAATTGTACACCTACAACTTCTGTACCACAACAAAAATTATATTAACTAATGAAAGACATACAAACATGGACCCATCATGAGTTCTTGTTTTAGCTTTTCAATGACAGTAACAAAGTATCTGAAAATCAACAAATGCCACCGGAGTTCCATATGTGCTTTGCATCTTCAATTTTATAAATCCATGGCAACTGGGAAAGGACAAATTTGAAATAGAAAATTAAATTCCACAAGCTTCACATATTAGGAAAATACATGATAAAAATAATTACTCCAAACCTTGAAAAGACTTGAATTAGCTCTTGCTCTGAACAAGTTGGCCCCAAATTTGCCACAAATAGTGTTGGACATGCATTAACATTTTGCGGAACATGAGGTGCAGAGTAGTTGTTCTGCTAATGTAGAAAAAATCCCGAGAGAACTGAATTAGTGAATAAAGATTCAAGCATACTGGATAAACTATTTAACATGAGGAACTTGTTATGCAAATGCAAAAGGCCCAATAACAAGATCAATTAAAATGATGGATAATGATGCTATTGGAAAATACCACCTAGCAGTAGTGTGTTAGTCTATTGCATCAAGGTAATATAGTTTTCAAGTAGGTTTGTGGATCATCTTCAAAGAAGAATTGACTTCTGACAACCATAAATACTAGTATCCAAGGGGACAATGTTAAAATGGTTAGGATAAGAGCCATGGCGAATTTATTTTGTTTAATTTTCCAAATATCCCAAAATGGACAATTGAACTACACTACAAAGGCAGGTGACTCCAAAACAGCCCAGAAAAATTAACCCAACAAGTTTGACGTATGAGGCACTTGCTTTCGCAAAGAATTAGTTTCATAGCTAAAGCTCTCATGTTGACATATTTAACAGATGGGTTGACAACCAACGGCCACAGAATGAGTCCACAGAGTTCTTTACAGTATTTGAGGGTAACGAGACCACTGTAATTAAAATAAAGCGGAGTGAATTGCTCGAGTTAAAAACAAAGACAAAACAGGATAACAATATCCATGGTTGCAAGTAATTATGGACATTGATAGGAACCTTTCTGTAACCTAATTTATCAGATCCCCCTCTAGTCTTATTTGAGGGAAGAGGGAGTGAGGTCTGTGTGTGTGGCTTGGTTAGAGTGAATTGCTTCAAAAAGCATACTTAAACATAGTTCTTCGAATAGAGACCAACTAAGAAGTTGAAATCTACAAATAAAAAACATTCGGGAAGTTATAAACTATGTGGGAAAAATGTACCAATTAACAAAACCAGCTTCAGAGCATCTGTTAGACAACTTCTTAACTTCCAGCTTTTCTGGGCATCTTCCGCTGCCAAGAAAAAACAATATTTTTTTACTACTTATGAGGGATAGAAATAACATATATTATAAAGTTGTGCCAACCTAGCTTTCATAAATTTATGAAGTTCAAGTCTAACAAGGTTTCTTTCCCCTTGCAGGACATGATAACAAGGTTAGACATCTTTTCTTTTCTTTTCTTTTCTGCTGAGTAAGGTTAGACATCAACATAGAAAAATTAAATTTAAGAGAAATTCCCTTCAAAAATATATATATCAAATTCAATGTGAGAATAAACTGTGCAATGATGCATATTGAAATGGTAGCTTAAGGTGCTTGCAAGTAAGCAAAAAATAAAATAAAAATGAAATGGTAGCTTAAGGTGCTTCCAAATCATGAGATGTAGAGATAGACCTAATACCTTCGCTCTGTTGAGTCAAGGACTAGCCATCCTTGGCCAAAACTTTGTTGTAAGGAAAACAACAAAAAACAAAAAGAATTTAATATAAGAGTTCTTAACCTCTGTATCTACCCAATTTTGGTATGTTAAATTAGAAACTTAAACATTGCAACCCACCAAAAATATTAAGAGATAAGTAGAAAGTAAAGAAAACGAGGTAACTTAACTCAAGTTGGAACCTTTATTTATTAAGGTCATCAATCACAGCAAATAGGTATTGAGTCAATACTTTCACTGCCAAAAGAAAAACAGCCCAATGGCTATATAACACAGAAATAATGCATAATTCTGGTTCCAAGCCCAAGATTAAAGAAAGGGGAAAAAAAATTAAGGAAAACCTGAACAGATGCAAATGAACTACAAATAATAATAATAACAATAATTGACTAACCATGAAAGAGATTATACAAAGCAATTCAAAATAACTATACCAATGCCATGACCCATGAGCATAACAATTCAGCGAAGTAAATACATTTCAAAATAATGCAAATAACCTTGGAGGCATAGCAACATAATGACAATCATAAATGCAAAAAATCCAAGAATATATGGAAACCTAAAAGCAGACTCTAAAAACATTAATTAAAACAAAAGACCAAGTTTGAAGCCATGCACTCTCTCTCTCTCTCTCTCTCTCAATTAATCTATAACTAAGCTTGTTTAGTGTCCCAAATATTTGACATGATCTAATGGACTGACTCTAGTTTGGAAGGTTTGATGTCAAATCATACTAACACTATGTAAAGTTGATTTGCAATTAAGATTCTTCTTTGAGGCATTTCATCAAACAAGCTGTCCACCAAGGTTATTATATAAGAGCAACACAATATATATACACAATAACACAGAAACAATGTGAGACTTCAATTCACACATCCACGATTTCGCATACAATTTGATCAGATTGTTGAAGAAGAAGAAGAAGCCATATACACAGAAACCCCATAAAATCATTATTATTAAGATTGCTTTACAGGAAACTCACCAAGGAGTAGTGGGCAATGTCAATCTGTCAATGCATGATAGCATATCAAATTAGGCGAAAGTGTATATAAGAAAACATCACTAATCAAAATATAAACCAATTAGTGTGGGGTTTTTTTTACAGTAACGAAAAGCACACATATAAACAACCTTGACAACAAAAATTGAATACCCATGTTTCTAAAATCCAATCCACATAGGGAAGGTAGAAAACTATTTGAAAAACCAAACCCATTTCAGAAACCAACACAAAATTAAACTGAATCAAGAATATAAAACCCTAGAGCAACAATCAGAAAGGGGGAAATAGAGGAAGGGAGACAGAGACACAGCTCGATCGAAAGAGAGAGCAAGCGCGCAGAGAGAGAGAGAGAGAACCTGTGCTCTGCAGCAATGGCGATGGAGATTTGCAGAGGTGGTGGCGGCGACGGCGATCTGCGGTAGTGGCTGTTGCCATCTGAGGCGGTGGCGGTAGTCTGTGGTCATGTGAAGTGGGGTGAGGTTTGGTGTGGTGAAGGAGAATAAACAGAGAACAGGAGCGAATGTTATATATATTTATATATATTACACCATTAGCGACTAAAACTTTTTAGTCGCCAATTAATTTTTCAAATCCCTCCAAAATTTAAGATGTTTCCCTCATTTTAATTTTTTGGGGACTAACATTATTTTTCATCGCTGAAAATCAACTTTTGGCGGCTAAAATTTTAGTCGCCAAAAGGTAAAAATTAATTTTTTATTTTACAGTTGCCGACCAAAGGTTTTAGTAGCCAAATGTACACCAACAGCGACTAACATTATTTTCGTCGCTGAAAATCAACTTTTGGCAGCTAAAATTTTAGTTGCCAAAAGGTAAAAATTAATTTTTTATTTTACATTTGCTGACCAAAGGTTTTAGTAGCCAAATGTACACCAATGGCGACTAACATTATTTTTGTCGCTGAAAATCAACTTTTGGCGACTAAAATTTTAGTCGCCAAAAGGTAAAAATTAATTTTTTATTTTACATTTACCGGCCAAAGGTTTTAGTAGCCAAATGTACACCAACGGCGACTAACATTATTTTTCGTCGTTGAAAATAAACTTTTGGCGGCTAAAATTTTAGTCGCCAAAAGGTAAAAATTAATTTTTTATTTTACATTTGCCAACTAAAGGTTTTAGTAGCTAAATGTACACCTACAGCGACTAAATTTACTTTTGTCGCCAATTTCAGGCATTTTTGCCGACTAAATTTCTTTTAGTCGCCAATTGTGATATTTTTAGCTACTAAAATTTTTTTGAGTCGCCAATTGTAATATTTTTAGCTACTAAATTTTTTTTAGTCGCCAATGATCAACATTCCCCTACGAAAAAAAATTAGTAGCTAAAAAGTTGACTTTTGCCGACTAAAATTAATTTTGGTAGCCAATTCCCACACTTTTGGCGACTAAATTTGTTTTGGTAGCCAAAAATGGTCGCTAAAAATGTGTTTTCTTGTAGTGAGATAAGACAGATAGATTTCTTTTTGGATAAATAATTTAATTTTGGCTTTTTTTATTTTTTATTTTTAGATATATAAAGTTTGAACCTATTGACTAAGTAATTTCAGAAATAGACAGTCATATCTAGCTGCCCAAGATTATATATTGGTTAGTAGATAAATACATTTTATTGATTTAAATAATAAAAAAAAACTAATTAATATATCAGATAATATTTAATATCTGATACCTAAATTTTAATCATCATAATATTATTGTATAAAATAAATTAAAAAAGACCAAATAAGTGAATATGGTCGACCAGGAAAAAAGTGATTTGAGGACTCTTTTCAAAAATAAAACTAAACTAAACTAAAATAAATGATATATCGTGGTCGTCCCCACTGGGCTCTCAGCCCATCAGAAATCCTTTTTCATGTGTAGGGGCATGATTTCATCCACTGGACCTCTTTAGAAAGCCCATTGGTAACACCTCCCATGGATATTATGAAAAAAAAAAAATTTAATGTAATAATTATAATTATATAATTTTATCGGATTAAACCGATTTCATACTTGCCATCTAATTCTTTTATATATATATATATATATATATTGTAATGCGTTGTTTTAGGAAATAAGTTAAAAGGTATTTTTTTGACATTTTTTAATTTTTTTTTAAACGTGTAAAAATAATAAAGAGATGACAAACTCAAAAGAGGTTAAAAATAAATAAATAACTACTTTTAATCTTTTTGCCAAAAGAAGCGAATATGTACCCTCTTACTCACATACATGTGGACTCCATAGGTGTGTGAAAGAGAGAAATATATATACAAATGAAACATGAAATCTTCTATTCTTAAATTTATGTTCTTTATTTTCAATTTTATTTCTAACTATTTAATCATGTTTTGAAATTCAGTAATGAGACTCTTTCATAATAGTTGAGAATATTTTGCGATTAAATAAAAAAAAAAAGGATAAAAGATGGTTGATCTTATAATAATATATAGATTATAGCCTTGTTTGGGAAATTAGTTATTTTAGTAGGTTATTTTAATTTTTGACTATTTTAGTAGATTAAAACAATTGTATTTGGAAAGATGGTTAAATTTTTTTATAATTGGATGTGATATTTATAAAAGAAAAAATAAAATAATTATAAATTTAACATGACATTTTATCTTATTAATTATTTTAATCTATTTCGTCTTTTAATAATATTTTAACCTAAAAATTCAAAAATATTTCTTCCCCAACATCGCTAAAATACCACCTCTTAAGAG